GAAGTTTAGTTCACTACTGTTCTCGCAAACCTAATCGTATAACCTGTAACCAAAACCCACAGAACAAGGATATGACACGCTAAAGAGTAACTTCTAATCACTGAATGTTAGCACCATTACCTGCTGTTAGGAAGAGATTACAGACAAGTTGGCTGTAGGGAGGGCAGACTTCATTTGTTACTGAGTCACTGAAAATACCTGGATGTCTCAGCATGGGATCTGTGTCAAGAGGTCACAAATGGTCCTGTGCTTTTGTAAGAAGAGAACTTTAGCTAGAGTTTGTCCCTGCTCCCAAGGGAAAGGTGGATTTAGATAGATATGGCCCACCCTTGTTACCAGGTGGTAAGGAAGGCTCAAAGCAAAGAATTGCCCCACAGGAAGACAATGTAACATCCACCCTAAAACGCAGAGTGGACATAAGCCGCTCCCTGCTCCAATGAAGTACACTGTGGAGTGTTGGAGACTAATTTTAAAAATCCGAGAAGGAATAATCTGCACTTCCCCAGCAACTCTTCCATTGGAATTGCTCACTCTGCAGTTCCTGTCCACTTTTAGGAGAATGGGTGGGCGGTGGATAAGAGCCGAGGCCTACAATTTTACCACGATATAAGCCAACACGTCACATTGACTCTGATATGCTGTTATAGTCACTACCTCAGTAACGCTACACATTTGCAGATTCATACGTGTGAGGTTAAATTGATTAGGATGGAAAATTATACTGATGGGGAATTTGTTTCCGGTCTGAGAGCACTGGCTGCCTGCCCTTGTCTTCTGAAGGTAATCAGGGCGGCTGAGGAGGCTGAAAACAGGGCTTTATGTGCTGAGGGAAGAGGCCCACAGTGGACGTGGGCAGGACTTCAAATCCAATTTACACCCAAATTGGTTGGTAGGATATACAAAGCCCCATCCAGAGACTTTCAACTTCACAATACTTTGTTCAGGAGCCCCTTCCCCCTCTGCTTCAGCTAGCAGCAAATCTAAAAAGAAACCATTGCTGATACAAATATAAGCCTCTGAGTAAACAGTGGATGTTTTGTTGAACTAGCCTGATATACATATCTGTGTGCATTCTGATATTTATTCCGATCTCATCATAAAGAGCAATTAAAATTATTTAAAGAAATTCAAATTTGCTTTCTCAGAAATTGGAAATAACCTTTGCATCATAAAACTAGTTTTAATATAATATCAAACTATATACTATGTTTTAGTATAAAACATCCTGTTTTGAGAGGCTTGCATTCATGCAACCTTAAAATAACATAGCACATTCTTAATTTGCATGCAAAACATTTTTTCAGGCCACTATGAGCCTTGACATATAAAATCAGATTATTGCAGCTCTCACTTTACAAACCCCAGTTTTTGCGCTTCGAAAGTAAACAGAAGAGAAAAAAAAATCTTACTTTGCTTGCTAATTTCTTCTACAGGCTAACAAAACAATACACACTTAGCTTTAACCTAAGAAGCACCTCAAAACATTAAAAATTCATCAGTCAGAGCTGGTGTTGTATTCAAGGAACACTCCTCCAGTTCACTGCTGAGCTCAGATTTGAATAAAATGTCCAATGTTAACAAACAATACCCACGTTTGGCACTTTGTGTATTAAATTGATCAAACAGATTTTAGGAGACACAATGCACAATTTGTACAGACCTGATTGAGTTAATATAATATCAGCAAATTTTACATCGAAATGATTCTGTTTCTTTTCTTTGTGTTTAAAACCAGCACAGATTACAAATTTTAATGATCTGAAAATGTTTGGTATACAAAATCATGCTTATTTCAGTATTAGCAAAAACACAAGAAATTTTTCAACACAAACACCCAGCTGTGTCTATTTTAAAAGCAGTTCAATGACAGCTTGCACTTATGAGCATGCAATCAGCTAATTTCGCTTTTTTTTCTTCTGTGTTAATCAACACTTTCCTTCCTGCATATCAGAGTACAAATAGTATAGTTACTCCACATCAGTAAATGTTTACGTAACCTGTCCTTTCCCAAGAATCCGGTTACACCGAATCATTTCACGCTAGACCGACTACGAAAACGTACCGGGCTGTCCACCTCAGAGGGAGCCCCGTGAGCCATTATAAGCAGTGGTGAGAAGGGGGGTTGGGGGGATGGGGAGGAGTAGGTGGAGGAGTGGAGGGGAGAGGAAAGGAGGGAGGCAGGAAGGGTGGGTTAGTGAAAGGGGAAGAAGGACGAGGGGAGGAGGGAGGAAAGCAAGTGCATTGAGAAACCTGGGTGAAGAGTGGGCCTGAGGAAGAGGAATGAGTGGAAGGGGAAGTGAACAGGACAGCTCAGGCTCACAGATCTCGCTGGCTGGGTTGGCAAAGGTCGGAACACCTCGACAGTCTCTGTAAGAAACCCCAAGCTTAGAAACCAACCCTTGGCGCTCATGTGGCTTGCAATGCCAATTGCTAGAACCCTGGAATTTTTCTTCATGCATAGGCTGTTTTCAAGTAAGCTGATCTGTAGAAATAGACCCAAACAGTGGAAGGATATTTGGGGACACTCAAAGATCTCTTACAACATTCCTAAAAAATAAATTAAAATTCGCTATTTATACTTGTGTATTATTCACTCCAAAGTTTCTCTCTCTTTCCCTCCCCTCTTCCCGCTCCCCATTTCGAAGTTGAGGGTGGGAATAGTCGAGTCCCAATTATTTTGAGTATTAGTCGTTGCTTTTTCCTGCTAGATTTTAAGACACACATAGGCCCTGCTTTTTCTCCCTCCGCTTTTTTTTTTTTTTTAATATCAAGTCTGCCAGATCATTTAGCTAAGAGCTAATCGAAGTGAAGAACGCTTGCAGGCTAGAGTGTTTTACCTTAAAGAGGAGGGGACGGTACTCGTGACCTGTGCGTCTCCACCTCCCTCTCCACTCTGGCTACGTCCTCCTTACAACGTGGCGTCCTTTGAGCTTTGAGGGCTGAGGCGCTTCTGATCTGTGTGCTCGCTAGATTCCAATCTCTGAGAAATGGTGGGCCCTGGCCCTGGTCGCAACCCTTTTAAAGGCCGTGAATCACAGGCCAACCAGTCATTTCAACCTCCCCACCAAACCATTCCCAAACCCCAGAAGCTGGGACTGTCAAATCCGCGTTGCCCGGGCTCCGGAGAGAATTCCGACAACATCCAGGAAGGGCAAGAGCTGATTTCAGCATACTGATGTTTCAAGACTGAGGTTTTAAAGAGATAAAGTATTTGTGAAATGGGAAAAACGAGCAAACATAGGATTTAAAAAAAAAAACGGAAGTAGACGCCCACTCATATTTTCTTCAATGTCAAGCAAAATGAAAATATTTCCAGGGTGATCGATCGCAGCTACAGGCTTCCAGTGCTGCCTAGAAGCTGAAGAGGAGGTGGAGTGCCGGGGGAAACGCCACGGGGTCACCGGCGCCTGAGCGCGACATTCGGAGAGCGCACGTGTTACCTGCTTTATTTCGGAACAGTTTGGTACCGGGTTCTCCGCGGCAGCTCTGCGCCCAGAAGGCCGCCGCAGGCTCCCACCGCACAGCCACCCCCGCTCCCGGCCAGCAGCCCGGCCTCTCCGCCACGCCGCTCGGGCCCGCAGGAACCAGTGAGTACCGGCCTGGCCGCGGCGCCCCCGCCCCGGCCGCCCCGGCTCCCCGAAGCCCGGCTCCCCGCCGCTGGCCCACGCGCCGCGCGGGCGCCTCCCGGGCCGCCAGAGCTCCCGGGTTCACGACCTCTCCCGCACCCCCGAGCTCGCCCCTGCACCGCGCCCCGCTTCTCAGAGACAGAATTGGATCCAAACTTTAATCGATAAGGATAAATATTGACGCGCAAGGGAAGATAATCCCGCACGGGGAGGCGGCCGGAGACGCGCGGCCGAGGCCCGGGACGCGCGCCCCGCGCTCCTCCTGGCCGGGTGGGCGAGCTCCCGCCGAGCCCCGCAGCTCCAGGCCCGGGCCCCGCCGCCCCGTGGGGGCGGCGAGCAGGGGGCGGGTCCGGGGCGGGGCGGGGGTGGGCGGGTCCGGGGCCAGCGATTGGTCGACGGCCAGCCAGACGCTCCCGCACGCCGCCGGTTTTGATTGGCTCCGCCGTAGGAAAGGTTAAACCAAAAATTTTTTTACAGCCCTAGTGTGCGCCTGTACCTCGGAAAATTAATTGTGGCTATAGCCGCCTCGATCGCTGTCTCCCAGCCTCGTCGCGGCCGCTCCGGGACGCGCCCGCCCGTCGCCCGGCTCTCCCCCCCTTCGGGCTGCCGCTGCTGCTGCTGTGACTGCTGCGGCGCGAGGAGGAGGAGGAGGCGGCGGGGGAGGGGGAGGCCGGGCGCGGAGCAGAGCGGGGCGCTGCACCCCGGGCGGCGGGCGGCTTCTGCCTCCAGCCTTCCTCCTTCCTCCCTCTCTCTGCCCTCCTCTCTCTTCTCTCTCTCTCTCTCTCTCTCTCTCTCTCTCTCTCTCTCTCTCTCTCTAATTTTTGAGGGGTGACTGCAGCTCTTGCTACATGCCTTGCCCGCGCCGGAGGAGCCTGCGGTCCAACTGCGCTGCTGCCCGAGCGCTCGGTGCCGCCGCCGCCGCCGCCGCCGCCTGCGCCCCCCGCGCCCGGCTCCGGAGCCTGCGCTCGCCCG